CCGAAGTGTTTGACAGTTGTGTCCACAAGTCGTCGCAAGTCTTCCGGTTTAGTCACATCCGCCACCACTTCCAGTGCTTTCGACTGTTTCGGTGATACTTTGAGACACTCTTTGGCCACTTCTGACACTTTATCGGCTCGTCTACCGGTGACCACAACATTAGCACCGGCTCTGGAGAACTGTACGGCAGTGGCGGCACCGATACCTGAACTCGAGCCTGTGATCAGCACTACTTTACCGCTGAAGTTGTATTGGAGAGACATTTCTTGAATTTATTTTGAAAAATAATCTAAAATATTAAACTTTTTTGGTGATCAGTTTCACTCAATGAACACTTTCTAACGTAATGTGTTGTATTTATACACTCACTTAACTTTTTAGTATTGGTGAACTTGCCAAGGGTAACATAAAACATATAGTTATCAAGCCATCAATCAATTTATAAGTGTTTATCGAAAATATAACACTATTTGAAGTATGATATCATTTCCTTATCAGTATTCAAATTGTATTCAAGAAATGCCATTTATTATTGTGAAATTTTGCTATAGTACTATTGCTACACTATTGTTTGAATGTCAATGTCAAAATTAAAACATTTATTTAATAACATATTATATTGCAATTAATAGTAAGATTATTTTCAAAACAATATTTATAAAAAAAATTCATTTTACATTACTATAATGAAATAATAGTGTTATTTACGGTATACTAATACTTATTATTATTTATAAAGCCTTGTTTATATATAACTAGGTATATAGTTTACTTGTGTTGCTATAATTAATTTGTAGTACTAATATTTAATTATATTAATTTGAATACAATTGAAATTAGATAAAAATGATAAATTTTCGTACTTATTATGTATTATATTAAATGATTATAGATTATAATAATTATAGATTATATAGATATTGAGAAAAATACAGTATAACTGTAAATTGTATTCAAATTACAGTACAAACGAGTTTACAACAAATCTTTAAGGAATTCAATGTTAAGAGCATTAGCGGCGATCTGTCCCCCATCTGACACCAGGTTAGTGCCCGTGACAAAAGCAGCATGGTCACTGGCCAGGTATAGGATTGAATCAGCGATATCAGTGGACAGGCCTGACCGGCCCACAGGTATTATACTGCCAAATCCGTCGTGCATTTTGTCGGAGACCTCGTTAGACATACCCATTGCAGATAGGAATTCCGTACGAACGGGGCCGGGGCTATAATAGATTAATATACAATATCTTATTACAGTGTAGGTTATATATGTAATAATTACAATTATTGTAAACTTACTTGATGACATTAACGCGGATACGTTTGGGTCCCAACTCCGCGGCCATACATTTGGTGAACATATCCATCGCAGCCTTAGACATACAGTATGGCGCCCACCCCGCAAACTTGAATTTCAATAAATGTAGATTAAAATTAAATTTATATTTTATGATCAGTTTATTAGCAATTATGTAAATACTAACGGCTCTCTTCCCGGCGACACTTGAAATGTTGATAACATTTCCCTTTGTTTTCTCCAAATGCTCGACACATATATGCGTTAAATAGACCACAGAATTGAGGTTTAATTGCATTACTTTCAGATAATTCTCGTAGAATTCCTTATCAGTAACATTAGCCACAATAGAAGCGCCGGCATTATTAACCAAAACATCGAGTTTCCCGAAGTGTTTGACAGTTGTGTCCACAAGTCGTCGCAAGTCTTCCGGTTTAGTCACATCCGCCACCACTTCCAGTGCTTTCGACTGTTTCGGTGATACTTTGAGACACTCTTTGGCCACTTCTGACACTTTATCGGCTCGTCTACCGGTGACCACAACATTAGCACCGGCTCTGGAGAACTGTACGGCAGTGGCGGCACCGATACCCGCACTCGAGCCTGTGATCAGCACTACTTTACCACTGAAATTGAATGTGAGAGACATTTATTGGATTTATTAATTACTTTACAATTTTATAATTATTTTAAAATATTAAATTTCAAACCACTTTTGTCTCAAGTATTATAGTACTTGTATATTCTCGATTGTGTTATTATATTATATACCCACTTTAATTGTAAGTAACTGTAAATTTTCCAAGGTTATCATAATTACATGGTTTTCTATTATCTTATAACCGGTATCCTTTTACACTGTATATTATATGATAACAATTAAGGAATTCCAAGGATATTATCTAAATATACTAATTGTTAACGAGAGAGTTAATGCTCACAACGAGTAATTCGTTAATCTGTGTAAAAAACACACTATATATTTATCATCTTAGTAATTTTTCCAATTATTTTATATTATAATTTTATACAACCTAATCTTGATTCATAATATAAATTATCTATAAATTATAATGTGGTGTATCGGGAATTCTGACCTCTAATAATGCGTGATTGGATCACAAAAGCACCAGGGTTTCTCCAAATAATTAATACAATTGCCTGAAAAGCGTTTTATTTATGAAAAATAACTTTATTGAAATGTATTCATAAGAACACAATTGGTTTTGAGAGACAATACTTTTGTTACACGTATTCAGACCGAGAGATAGAAAGATACTGAGAAGTATGGGTTAAGGGTAGGGACACCTATGGTTTTTACTTAATTAAAAGTATGGCGGCTTTGATTTAAAATTTTATTACATCTCAATACATTTTTAAATTATAATTGATTAAGTAGCATACAATTAAATAGAAATATTTAAACAATACAATAAAAACATTATTTCATTATGACATAAATTATTAATAATTATTACAAATAGTTTACAAAATAATATTTATTTTAAAAAGCAAATAATAAATAAAATAGCTTATTTTATGTCAAATTAGTATTTCATAATATTGTAAATAAAAAATCACCCATTATATTAAAATTGTTATATTCTTAATAACTTTTACATTTTAGAATTACCTGCTACAACACCTCCATCCACAATGAGACTAGCGCCGGTGATAAAAGCGGCATGGTCACTGGCCAGGTATAGTATGGCATCACCCACTTCCTCGGACTCCCCCAACCGGCTTATTGGCATCAACTCTACGAAAGCCTGCATATGTTTATCAATTATATCCTGTGGTAAACCCAGTGCTGCCGCAAATTCAGTGCGAATTGGACCAGGGCTATTCATTCAAATAGGAAGATTGACATTTTATTTTAGACATTCATTTTGTTGTTGTTTTTATAGATAGTAATTATGAATTACTTGATGACATTAACGCGGATACGTTTGGGTCCCAACTCCGCGGCCATACATTTGGTGAACATATCCAGAGCACACTTCGCCACACAATAGGGACTGTAACCAGATATCTGTGAATGAATTCATTGTTTTAGAAATTATTTTGAATTTTGAAATTTTTTGCACTAGACTTACAGCTCTCATCCCAGCGACAGCTGAAATGTTAATAACATTTCCCTTCGTTTTCTCCAAATGCTCGACACATATATGCGTTAAATAGACCACAGAATTGAGATTTATTTGCATAGCTTTTTGAAATTTTTCGGAATAATCTTTTTCTTCAATTTTAGCGCCAACACCAGCACCGGCGTTATTGACCAGAACATCCAGTTTCCCGAAGTGTTTGACAGTTGTGTCCACAAGTCGTCGCAAGTCTTCCGGTTTAGTCACATCCGCCACCACTTCCAGTGCTTTCGACTGTTTCGGTGATACTTTGAGACACTCTTTGGCCACTT